TTTTCAGCCCCCCCCCCCCCCTTTAAAATAAAAAATTGTGTTCTTGAATAGTGTTTACACCATAGTTTAACCACAAATTCTTTAACAAAATAATATTACACGTAAATTCAAAACTTTCTTTATTCTTTAATCACACATTTTTCATCAATATCCTATTCAAAAGTGTACTTCTTCGACAAAATGTGGCTCAAACAAGGGCATAATATGTTATAAAATTAAATTAACCCACACCCCACAACCACTCCATTCCCATATCGATTTCATACCCAGATTTTGAATTCCTCCCCCCCCTCTCTCTCTCTCTCTTTGTATCATCTTCTCTCTTTCTTCTCTATCAGCAATGAGTGTCAGCATCGTGCCATGGCTAATTGTAAAAATGAAAATTAATGAATCGAAAAATAAAAAATTGGGAAGCCAACAAGCCGCAAAGATGTATATGGAGAGACGTCAGGATACAACAAATAATTTGGGTTGTGGAGAGGTTGAAGCGTAAAAAATTAGAAGCTGAGCAGATAGTGAAATAGTCGATGAGCAAAATATTTGAGGCTGATCAGACTGTGGAAGTGTATAAGAAGAAGTTTGAAGATCTTAGTGCAAGGTTTAGCAAATTCTCGCCATATCGGGTCTGGCAACTAAAGTTGAGAAAGATGTTAATTTCTTGACTTGTGATGGTGAAAAGGAAAGTTCAAGGAATGGTGGTAAACAGAGTAGAGGGAATGTTGATTTTTGGAAATCATGATTCGGAGCATTTCTTAAATAAAATGAGTTTAAAGAAGGATACTAATGTGGGTGACACATCGCCTCTGATTCACTCTGTTTACAAATCAAGTGGACCTGGAATTAATGGCTCGCAAGACATAGGTAGTGTAAAATATTGATTAATTTTCATTTTCATTCTTTTGTGTAAATGTTGGTGATGTTGAGTTGAATTTGTAATTCATTATGACACGTGATTTGAGAACCGTGAACTATTATGTGACATGTAAACAATTACCTCTAATATTGGTCAAATGAACTATGAACAGTTTTATTGGGTCTGTGACTTGTGGACATATGTTACATATGCAATATGACATGTGACATATGAACTGTTACACGTGACCTATAACATGTTAACTGCGGCATGTGAACTTGAATCTATAACCAATTATTAGTGTACAAAAACACGTGACATCTGATCTGTGACTAGTTAATATTAATTTGTGACCTGTGACTCGTAAACATAATTCGTGATATGTGATCAATTCTATTTGATCTGTGACTAGTTCTCTTTGATGTATGACATCGGGACATTGATCCGTTATCGATGGAATATGACGTGTGACATTTGGACATTGATTTGTTGCCTATGCAATATGATAATTCGTGACTTATAAACTATTGCTTGTGACCTATAACATATGAACTACCCGTGAACTTGAATATGTGCTTTGTCATCAATGCACAAAGACATGTGACCTGTGAACATAAAATAATGATCTGTAACCAGTTCTCTTAATTTGTGATATATGAGCATTGATCTGTGACCTATGTACAACGACCCATGACTGGTTCAAACTGGTACCCGTAACCTGTTCCACTCACACCATCACCAGTTCCATATCAATAGGTCATTGTGCTTAGGTCACTGGCACCACCACAACCATTTGCAAACTACGAACACCTACCAACAAAAATCACTTCAAAACTTCGACTAAAATTTGATTAGATCGAAGAAAGAAAACATCATCACTACCAACACAAACACCAACACCAATAATCACTCTAAAAAATAACCCAAAACTCCATATACACCCCCCTGAATAAAGGGTTTCTCTAAGAAACATTTAAAGAATCAGTGTCATAAAATTTCTAATAAATGCAATCCGAAGTTATGAATAATAATTTTTTTAAACCAAACCAAATATAGAAGATGAAAAAGTGATGTGGAAAATGGGAACGAGTGCGATTTATCATTGAATAAAGGGTTAATAACTCAATGGTCACTGAACTTAACAAAAAAAGTCTCGGGGTCACTGATCTTTAAAAATCACCCAAGTCATCATTGAAATTTGCAAAATTTACATGGGGTTACTAAACTTTAAAAATCACTCAATTAATCAATGAACTTTACAAAAGATTTGAACGAGGTTAGTGATCCACTGGGAAACTTTTTGCAAAGTTTAATGATGAATGAGATGATTTTTAAAATTCAGTGATCCCATGAAAATCTTTTACAAAGTTTAGTAATCCTGTGAAAACCTTTTACAAAGTTCCGTGATGACTTGGGTAATTTTTAAAGTTCAGTAACCATTTGGGTTATTAACTCTTGATGGAAATATTAACTTTTATCTTGTACCTATAACAATGGCCCACTGGAGCTCATTTTAAATAGTTGAAAATCTAAAATTGAACAAATGGTGAAATGGGTTCTTTCATAATTCAATCATTTTTAGACCTCGAAAAAATCGAATCATAGCGTGAAAAAGAAGAAGAAGAAGCAATGGGTTCTACCTAATTCAAAATAATTTTGATAGTTGAAAATGAAATAAATTCATATTTTGAGGCCAAAAAGTAGTAAGTATGTATGTTCTAAAACTAGACCGATTTCAAAGCACAACACTCTGTGTTGCGTGCGATGGTCCTGTACAATTATAATTGTTGGTTTTCAACAAGAATGGAATGAGAAAGAGAGAATGTAACGGCTTCGCTTGTGGAAAGAGAGCTGAAAGAAAGAGAGCAGAGGCGGAGCCCCATTAGGATGCCCGCACTGAACTTTTGGGCTCCACTAGGCCCAATTTTTTTTTTTTTTTTTTTTTTTTTTTTTTTTAAAGTCTAGTTAAATGTCCAACCTAGATAGAAGCCCAATTACCCACAGCCCATGATCAGTTTACCGACCCAGACCCATCATTCAACTAACCCGTTTCATTGAAATCAAAATCAAACCAAACCCTGAATCGCGTCTCTCTCGCCTGCTTCTCTCGACTCTCGCCTGCTTCTCTCGAAGCTCCGCCCGTCTCGCCGGCTACTTCTACTTCCAGTCCACTAGTGGCCGGCATCTCCTAGATTAGGGGCTTTAATCTCCGACCCTATAAATGTATCAAATATCCCCAAATTCGAAACCCCAATCCTCCCCCACCCAAGTCCGCAGGCCGCAACTGAACTGTCGTCTGCCATCGCCTGATTCGCCTCCCGCCAGGCGCCACCGCACTAGCTGCCGCCTCTAAAGAAGGTAATTAGATGTTCTTCTAATAATCCAATCTACATAGCCATCCGGTGCGAGATACAAAGACGAAATAATTTTATGGCTGCTGCTGCCTAATTTTCATTTTCTCGTTTTTGCCTGCTGTTGGGGAAATAATTTTGCTTGTCTAATTAATATCTTGTTTTCTTTCCTTGTAGATGTATCCTCTATTTGTTGCAGATTCTCATTTTCACACTGTCACACAACACAAGGAAAACTTGTTACGTGAATTGATATTGTGAAATTGGATTGATATTGTGAAATTGTGAATTGTGAATTAGATTGTGAAATAGTATAAATTGTATTGTGAATTTGCGAATTGGAAGGTGAATTGATATTGTGAAATTGGATTGATAGTGTGAAATTGTGAATTGTGAATTAGTATAAATTCCATTGTGAAATTGCGAATTGGAAGGTGAATTGATATTGTGAAATTGGATTGATAATGTGAAATTGTGAATTGTGAATTTGATTGTGAAATGTGAATTACACTGCGAATTGAGATTGTGAAATTGTGAATTTATGATTCTTTTGTCATTATGAATTATTCTCACTCACTCCCAGTAATAATTGGATATCAAATGTTTAAATCCAGATATCAAATGAATAGATACTTTCAACGAAAAATGAATGTAGATAATATTGATGAGGGGGTATTGAATGATGTGGAATTTGATGTCACAAAACTTTCAACTGATCCTGGTCTAAGGATACTCATTTCGGATTACAATGCTAACATCCGAGATGAAGTTCGAAGAGCATATATGTTAAAGGGTCTTTGTCAGCCCCAAGATCATGACTTTCCAAAACGACAATTTGGAGTAACAATTAGACGATTCAATCCTTCGTGGTTTAAAGAGTTCAGTAGTTGGTTTGAGTACAGCGTAGAGAAGGATGCTGCTTATTATTTGTATTGTTATCTTTTCAGAACAAGTTCTGGAAAGCAAGGTGGCGGTGAGTCTTTTGTTGGCGAAGGTTTTATATATTGAAAAGATAAAAAGAGACTTCATACTCATGTTGGATTTCATGATAGTGCACGTAATCAAACTCGCACTAAGTGTGAAGTGTTGATAAATCAAGAACAACACATTCAATCAGTTTTCTACAAACAATCAGAACAAGCAAGAAGTGCATATGTTACACATCTTAATGTATACATTGATTGTGTTCAAGTTCTTTTGCGACAAGGGCACTCATTTCGAGGTCATGATGAATCTGAGGATTCTCTCAATCCAGGTAAACTCTTAGTGCAATTGCAATTTTTGGCTACTCAAAATGAAGCTATTCATGCCGTCACTTTGGGAAACGCTCCTCACAATTGCAAATTGACATCACTTGATGTTCAAAAGGATATAGTAAATGCTTGTGCTATTGAAACGATCAATGTATTATCAAAGATGTTGGCGACTCACTATTTTCTATTCTAGTTGATGAATCTCGTGATGTGTCAATGAAGGAGCAAATGTCTATTATTTTACATTATGTAGGCAATAGTGGGCATGTCAACGAACGCTTCATAGGGATTGAACATGTTACAATTACCACGACTCTAATCACTTAAGGCTGCAATTGATAAGGTATTTTTTAGATATAACTTGAGCATGTCTAGATTGAGAAGACAAGGTTATGATGGAGTAAGTAATATGCAAGGTAAGTTTAATGGTCTGAAAACACTAATTTTGAATGAGAGTCCATGTGCTTTTTACATTCACTGTTTTGCTCATCAACTCCAACTTGCGCTTGTGGTTGTGGTAAAGAAGAACATCCCTATTACTAACTTCTTTCGTGTGGTTGGGGACGTGATAAATACTGTTGGAGCATCTTCCAAACGTTGTGAACTTCTTCGAGAAAAACAATTAGACTTTATTGTTGAGGCATTGGAAAAATGTGAGATTTTAAGTGGACGGGGACTTAATCAAGAAACGACCCTTCAGCGCTCTGGTGATACACGATGAAGTTCACATTATAATTCTTTGGTCAGCTTGCTTGCCATATTCTCTTCTGTTTTAGATGTACTTGCAATGATTGTTGAAGATGAATCTTGTTCTTGTGATCAAAGATCTGATGCAACAAATTTATTGGAGTTGATACAAAAATTTGATTTTGCATTTAATCTACAGTTGATGAGAAGTGTCTTGGGGATGTCAAATGAACTGTCAAAGGCATTGCAAAGGAAAGATCAAGATATTGTGAATGCAATGCAATTGGTGAAATTGTGCAAACGACGACTCCAAATAATGAGAGACGAAGGATGGGACTCCTTTTTGAAAGAAGTATGTTCTTTTTGTCAACAACATTACATTCATATACCCAACATGGATGATATGTTTGTACGCCTTGCACTTTGTGGTCGCCCTCAGCATAATTCTCCAGAAATTACAAATTTACATCATTACTGAGTAGTTTTGTTCTATTCTGTCATCGATTTACAAATTCAAGAATTGAATGATCATTTCTCGGAGGTAAATACAGAGTTACTCCTTTGTGTAGCTTGTTTATGTCCACAAGATTCATTTTCTTCTTTTGACAAGAAAAGCTTGATTAGACTTGGTGAGCTTTATCCATTAGATTTCTCTGCAGTAGATGTCATTGTACTTAACGATCAACTTGAGACTTATATTTTTGACATGAGTTCTAACAATGAGTTTGAAGGGTTGAATGACCTTGGTGATCTTGCGAAGAAGTTAGTTCTGACAAAGAAAGATAGGTTATATTCATTGGTTTACAGACTTTTGACTTTGACATTGATTTTAACGGTTGCTACTGCTACTATGGAAAGAGTCTTTTCTGCAATGAGTATTGTAAATGATAGATTGCGCAATCGAATGGGTGATCAGTGGATAAATGATAGCACAATTGTTTATATAGAGAAAGATATATTTTTGAAGATTGATAATGAAGTTATTGTACGACGATATCAAAATATGAAAACTCGCAAGGAACAAGTTTAATATATAAATTATGTCGTTTTTAGTATTATTCGAATATTGTTTTATTTTTTTTGTTATCATTAAATCTATGACCAAAACCTCGAAATTCGGCGTCGAAAAATGATGGCCGCACTGAATATAAATCCTGGCTCCGCCCCTGAAAGAGAGAGATAGAGAAGACCGAGAGAAGGGTTAAAGCTTAGCGAGGGATAGGTGTGGGGGCGAGAGAACCGAGGTGAATTATTATTAATATATTTATTTAATACATATAAATAACTAATTATAACTTGAATTTTGAAATATAAAACTTAAAAACAGTCATAGGTGTAATTCTCACTAATTATGTTATAATCACATCTTTTATTTTTCACACAATATTAAATTTTAATAAATATACCACAATAAGCTCCCGTTTGGCCTTCATTTTCGGAAAATGAAAATGAGTGGAATAGTATTTTTCTGAAAAATGAGTGGTTGAAAAAGAATGAAATTTTTTTAATTTACGTATAATATTGTTTTATGAAAGATTGTGTGGTTGAAAATAGGAGAAAAAAATAAAATGTAATGTGATGAAATTTAATGGGGTTTAAACAGGGGCTAAATTTATAATATGTCCATAACTCGCCTAATAAAGAAAAAAAGAAACGAAAAGAAAAAGTGAAGTACACTGTACACAATAATTTATTACCATTCATTTCCCTACCCATTCCTTAGTTACCGACAAATTCCGGCGAGATTTCCGTCTGATTTGGTTTTCACTCATGATTTTGATCAACTTCTCCATAAACATACCATTTAATTGCGCCATATTTCGACAATTGTTGGTAAACTACATTCAGAAAAATCATACGTTATACACCAAAAGTCACAGAGAACTTTTTATCTGTTAATCATAAACAATAGATAGTAACAACTAACAATTTTTAATTCAATTACCTAACTGTAAATCAAAATATATCGAGAAATAAAACAAAAGACAAAAAAAGTTTCAGACCCCAGTATTCATTTTAATTGGGTTAATAGATTGAGGTATATTGACAAAAATACATTTTTATTGTTTTTCATCCAAAAAATTGATTTTTTGAACGTTATTTCACTATTCCAACCATAAAGTTTGACTTTTTCTCTCATAAGTGGGCCCCACTTTTCTCTTAACGGTCACAAAATCAATTCTCAAAATCATTCCCAAACAGGGCCTAAATAAAATCATGGTGGCAATTAAAGCTAAGGTAATTATATTAACACGACAATTTTTATTTGTTACCCTACATTTTGCATTGAAGGTTTTTAATATTAGTTCTTTTATTTTTCTTGTTTCATTATTATCATTGATTTTTTATGTTAATTAGCACATCTTCGTCCACAATGATAGATTCCATCCAAAAGATTAGTTGAGACTTGAGAGGCCAATAAAAAACTTATTTTCTCCTCATACGTTTAAATGAGAAAAAATAACAAATACAAAACTTCGACAAATAGTTTTCCCATCAATTTGATACAAGCTAGCAGAATACTTTGACAAAAACCATCATCAACGTCAAATTGTGCTAACTAAAAGAAGAGTAATGATACAAACGATGGGCCACACTGACAATGAGCAAAAGTTAGAGACGTGGTGCAATAAAGAAAAAATTGTGATGTAAATATAATTACACTTAAAAGATAAGGGTAGGTAATCCCATTTAGTGTGAATTCCGGTGGTACAAAAATGGAAGGTTGAAAATTGTGGACATCAAAGATTAAAAAAGAAGATCGAGAACCTAATTACAACATTGCTATTAGGTAGGGATTTTACCTGTAATTTTCTCAAATAAAAATCCAAGAACTGTCAATCCATGCGTGATTGTGAACTTCAACCACACCTAACCAAATTTCATTGAATTATAAAAATAAAAATATATTTCTACCAAAAGTCTCAAACCACGCTCATCACACACCAAACCAAATAAAATAACTCTAACTACCCTAAAACCATGTCCGGCGACAGATTCTTATTTCTTTTTATTTTCTACCATATCGGAAATATATGCTTACATATTGATTCCTTAAATCAAATTGGTATATCTGAAAAAGAAAAGAAAAGATAACACGTGTGAATATAGAAAAAGCAAGTTAAAGATAAAAGAGCCACCAAAATCAAAGAGTAATGTTATTCGTAGTCGGTCACTGCGACATTCGTCCTACGTGGTATACACATGATAGATGATTATTTGATATATTAATGTGGTAGTTTTTTTATTCATTAATGCATCAAATAACCACTTGCTATGTACATGCCAAGTAGGACGACTGTTGTAGTGAGCGACTGCAAATAGCATTATTCAAAATCAAATAATTACCTTCTCTTATTGCAAGGATATTTGTATTTCCATAAAATCTTGGATGAAATTACGTGTTGAGTTTCCATCAATTTACGTTTTGTAAATAATATCCACTTTTTTGATCAATTCTTTCAAATAATACCACCATTCTCTTAAAAAAAATGTTAAAAAATTTCGAACCATCTAGAAATTTTCTCGCAATGCTAATCAAAAGTTACTAGAGTTTTAGTTCATTTAGACATTCATTATGAATGATAAATCTATGTTAGAGTACTAATTTATGTGACATTATGTAATATGTTCAATTAAAGATGAAATTATGAAATTCATTTACTTGTATTTTTCAGACACTTAATGTTGTCTAAACTAATGTCGTAAGAGTATCTCTCAAGAAATTATTTAAACATGAGATACTCCTATTTTAAAAAGAGTCAACTCTTAAAAACGTGCTCCAAAAGATACTTTAAATTAATATTTTAATTTAGAGAGTGGGTTTCGAGAATAGTAAAATTAATTGTTAAATCTCCAAATTTATAGATATTATCTAAACGATAGAATATATTTTATGAAAGTAAAGAATCTTTTGAAAATGTTCTAACATCACTCTAGTTTTTAGGTATAACTAGATAACCATATTAATAAATGGGCTTTACTTTGTGTACATAATTTTTTGTACATTAAGGTATCTCACACTCACATGGAGTGGGCCTTGTTCGAATATTTTATTTAAGTCGACCTCACCCTATGTAAGTGTATGAATACCTTAATGTACAAAAAAATATTAATAAATTTGATGCAAAAATGAACATGGAGACTTCATCCACTGTTTCTACTTTCTACAACCCAAGTAGAGACACGTGTATATAATTTTTTTTTTTTGACAAGGTGTTTAATTCTTGACTAATCCTTGGATCTGTGATCCGGCCCCTCTTCACACAGTCCAGTTAATCGCGGGATGTGTCTCCAACTAGTCAGGGTCCGAGCCCTCTCCACCTGATCTGCCAAAGTGCCAAGCAAGTCAATCCAAGTTGCATTTTGCCTTCCAAGAATAATCATTACCTTTCAAGATTTCTCTTGCCTTCCAAGAATAAATCCTTGCCTTTCAAGAGCCCCACGAATCGAACTCACGACCTCTAATCTGCCAAGTTTGACAGAGCCCGTCCTTTGCCAGTGGAAAAGTGCCCGGGGGCGAGACACGTGTATATAATTTATTTATACATATGAGAGTAGTAGATATTTGTTTATATAGATGTGTCCATAATGGCCAAGCCGATCCATCCTCCGTAATATTAAAAGGGGAAAGCTGCAATTATTTCCAAATTAGAGATTAAGAATTCATGGAATTTTACACATATCCGTCTAATCCTTTGCCCTCGTCTTCATCTTCTTTGTTATCATTCGGGTATTTCATCGACAAAATTAAACAATGTTTCGGCTTCGCTCTTTCTGCAATTGTCGGAAATGTATTCTCTGCAATTTTCACCTTTTTCTTTGCCATAGGTGAGTTTGTTTAAATTTTTTGTTAATGGTTTCAAAGTAAATGAATTCTAGAGGTTTTAATTGATTATCGATATTGCAACTGTTCAATAAAATGGCTGTGGTCCTTGATTCATATTTGTGCTTTCTGATTCTGATTTAGGTTACCACCCAATTTCGGAAAGTAATAAGAAATTGAAAAATGGATGGTTTTTGATTGAGCAGAATATGGATTGTTAGACTTTGAATTGTTTAGCTGTCCTATTTTGGATTATTGCAACCAAGGGCATGCGTGATTATGTTTAAATAACTTTTTGTGTAGAAAGGCTCATTTGAAGGTGGGGGGGGGGGGGGGGGTTTTTTGT